ACATTCCAAGGCATATTTTGAAACTCAAACACTTGAAGTGTTAACAAACATGGCGAATGACCGACCTCATGTTCCATCAAGCAACTGGGAGGGTGTTCTTCAACCCTTCTTTGTAGGTAATCACCCCATTGGAGGCCATGCAGAAGACTTGTTACATATACTCAAGCAACTAGACTTCAAATTCCGATTCTCCCAACGAGGTAGAAGAACCATTCATCGCGTCATCCGCCTAATGGAAAAAATCATTGAGGGGTATGAACCTCTTCGTGACATCCTTGGTCGCATTCCTGACCTCCATCATCACATGGAAATGATTGAAAATCACGCAGCAACCATACTTCCAGATCTTGGTTGGGATAATATCTTTTCCAATCAACGAAAAGTCTTTTCAAGATTGCGTACCATTGTTGACCGTGAATATCAAGCCATAACAGACATGCAAGCACGTACCAATCAAGATCTAGACGAAATGCAAAGCCAATGGGAAAGGTACCGACCAGATTTGGAAGATCTTATTGAAGAAGAACCAGAATTAATATCCACTCACTGGAATGACAATTCTGATTCAGAGTCAGAAAATTTCTCACAAATACATGATGACTAACAGAAATGAACCTTTAAATAGGTTCGAACCCCATAGATGGGTTCTGAACAATATTTTGTTTCATGCAGTTTTGTTATCTGAAAAGGCAGGATAATACCTCTTCAGATATTTAGCATTAATACAATCATGTACTCTCTTACCTTCATGATTTACAATAATGAAAGCGCCATTTCCAATATCTTTTGAATAATGTATGGTCCCTTCCAATTCGGTGACCACTTTCCCAATTGGTCAGTTTTCTTATATGTAGGAAGAATGGTCTTCCAGACTAGGTCTCCTTTTTGGAATGTCCTGTGAAGAACTTTCTTTCCGTAATTCATTGCTCTGTTTTCACTCTGTTTCACACTTCGACTTATTGCCTGAAGTCGGCTAACATCCAAATCCTCCAACTGTTGCAACATAAGTTGTTGGTATTCTTTTGTAAGATCGCCATCAGTAAATTCTGTTCGGCCAGATGATACTCGGATTTCGGCTGGTAAAACAGCATCTTGGCCAAAAGTGAGTTGGTAAGGTGAGAACCCTGTGGCCGTATTTCTGGTATTCCTATGTGCCCATAAAGCCTGAGACAATAACAAATGCCACTTTCTTGGATTCCCTTCAACCATCTTCTTTATAATCCCAATAATAATCTTATTTGCTGCTTCCGCTTGTCCATTGGCTTGGGGATAATAAGGTGACGAATGATGTAATCGAACACCGAATTCTGCTAAGAAACTAGAGAACTTTTCCCCTGTGAAAACCAGGCCTTGGTCGGTTGTTATAGACTGAGGAATGCCATATCTGTAAATAATTTGATTCAAAACGAAGTCTATCACCTCCTTCTGATCTACATTTTTCAAAGCAACCGCTTCTACCCATTTGGTAAAGTAGTCAGTCGCGACCAATATGAAACAATGATGTTTCGATGAAGCAGGATGTATCTTACCAATAATATCCATAGCCCATGATTTAAAAGGCCATGGTTTTGCCAAAAATTGTAATTCGGTTACTGGCAAATGATTTAAATTTCCATGTCTCTGACATTCCTGGCAGCCTTTGGCAAATTGTATGCAATCTTCAAAAATCTTTGGCCAGAAAAAACCCAAACGATGAATGGCCCACCTCATATTCAGACCTGCCCGATGAGCTCCACATATCCCACCATGTACTTCTGTCATTACCTCTAGAGCTTCTTTAGACCCCAAACATTTCAAAAGTAAACCTTCAAATGATCTCTTATACAAAATTCCATTTATCAATTGAAAACGTAAAGCCTTCAATCGTGTCGCAATCGAAACACTCGCACCTGGATTCTGTAAATACATGATAAGCTATGTTCTCCAATCGGGCACTGTTTCGCTGGTATCTTTGTGTCCGACTATAACCACGCCGTCGGGCTCCTGCCCGACAGTAACTACGCAGTCGGGCTCCTGACCGACAGTCTCCTGCCCGACCGTAACTTCACAGTCGGGCTCCTGTCCGACATTCTCCTGCCCGACCGTAACTTCGCAGTCGGGCTCCTGTCCGACAGTCTCCTGCCCGACCATTCGATCACATATTAGGTCTGTCTTTTCTTCTATGCCCGACTTGACCTCCGACCACATATCCTCCAGAATTCCTTTACAGGCCCTTTGAGCCAACCCGTCAGCACGTTGGTTTTCTTTCCTCGGAATGAACTCAATTATTACTTCTGAGATTTTTGTCAGTAACCGACCCACAATATCCCTGTATCTACGAAGATGACGGTAATTGCAAACATATTGATTGTTTACCTGGTTGATTACTAATTGAGAATCCCCCCTTATGATTACAGACTGGACCTTCCTGGCTATCAAAGCCTCCAAACCCAAAATTAAAGCTTCATATTCTGCCGAATTATGGGTCATGGCTTCCAATCGTAGTTGTAAGTTGATCTTTTGACCATCAGGTCCTTGCAAAAAGACCCCTGCCCCTGATTTGTTTCCAGAGGTAGAACCATCAAAGAACATCAACCATGTTCTGGTACTTATATAAGGCACACATCCGACCTGTAGATTATCCAGATATGATGAACAACTAAATGGTCGGACACTATCACAAAGAGAATACCCGACTTGTGAGAATTCTGCTAAGAAGTCGGCTACTGCTTGTCCCTTGATTGCCCTCAGCGGGGAATGTTGAAGATCAAAAGGAGCCAATTTGATGGCCCACTTCATGAGTCTGCCCTTCATAGTAGGTCTCTGCAAAATCAATTTGATGAGATCCACCTTTGATATGACCTCAATTTTTCTGGGCAGCAAATAATGCTCGAGTTTAGTACAAGCGAAGACCAATGAATAACACATTTTTTCTGGCATAGTGTAATTCAATTCGGGTCCTGTAAGGGTTTTACTGAGATAGTAGATTGCCCTTTCCTTCCCCTCATCACCATCCTGTGCCAACAAACAGCTAACCACTTCATATGTATTTGCCAAATAAAGTTTGAGCGGCCGACCTTGTTTAGGAGGCATCAAGACTGGAGGGTGAACCAATGCCTGCTTGATAGCATCTAAAGCCGTCTGTTGATCGGGACCCCATTCAAAAGCATTTTTTCCAGCTTTCAACAATTTAGTAATGGGTCTGACCTTGCCAGCAGCATTAGAAATGAAACGCCTAAAATAGTTCACCTTACCCAAAAGACTTTGGATTTCTTTAACCGTCTTGGGTGGCCGACTGTCAAGAATGGCTTTAGCCTTATTGGCATCAATTTCAATTCCTCTCTCATGAACTAAAAATCCTAAAAAGCTCCCGGCTGATATTCCAAAAGCACACTTGGTTGGATTCATCTTCAACTTGTACTTCTTCATTCTTTCGAATGCCTCTTCAAGATTTTTCAAATGCTCGTTAAAACTGGAGGATTTAACAATAACATCATCAATATAAACTTCCATAGATTTGCCAATTAAATCATGAAAGATTGAATTCATGGCTCTTTGGTAAGTTGCCCCTGCATTCTTTAAACCGAATGGCATGACTGTCCATTCATAAATACCTAAAGCCCCTGGGCACCTGAATGCTGTCTTAGGAATGTCTTCTTCTGCCAGAAATATTTGGTTATAACCTGCATAACCATCCATCAGACTAAGGACTTTATGCCCTGCTGCTGCATCTATCAACATGTCGGCCATAGGCATCACATATTCGTCCTTAGGGGTAGCTAGATTCAAATCCCTGAAATCAATGCATATCCTTATCTTACCATTTTTCTTGACCACTGGCACAATGTTAGCCAGCCACTCCGCATAACGGCAAGGCTGAATGAAACCCACTTTGAGAAGTTTTTGGATTTCTTCCTTGATTTGAGGCATCAGATCCGGGCTCATTCGCCTTGGAGGTTGTTTGTAAGGTTTACAACCTTCCTTGATAGGCAATCGATGCTCTATTAGACTTCTTGTCAAACCAGGCATCTCTGAATAATCCCATGCTAAACAATCAATGTTGTTTCTAATAACTTCGAGCATCATTGTTTGTTGCTCTTTAGACAAATAACCACTTAACCTGATCACTTTTGGAACCAATTCGGTTCCTAAATTAAACTCCAATAATGGGTCTTGTGATGAAGCTGTTGGTTCTGTTTTTTCTAATAAATCGGGCCAACGAAATTGTTCATCTTCTTGGAGGTGAACATCAAGAATCTCTTTACTATTTTCTGCTTTATGTAATAACTGCTTTAAATAGAACTTATTAATAAGAGAACTACATACTTCTAAACTTGTATCATCCATAACAAACAAATTATATGGGAATGGGTGTGGCTTTATCATGAGCCATACAATAAAGGTGTTCTTTTAATAGAACATCGAGTTCTGGCCAGTGACTTTATAATCCTTGTTTGGGTATTCCCTGGCCATATACAATTGAGACATCGGAACCAAATGACTGGAATAAAACACTGACTCTTCAACTTGTTCTGATACATCGAATGGGTTGTCATTTGCTTCCATTTTGAAGACCTGATTTCCTTCCCAGAACATTAACTGCTGGTGCAGTGTTGATGGTACACATTGAGAAGCATGAATCCAGTCTCTTCCCAGTAAGAGAGAATATGTAGTATCTGCGTCCACAATAAAGAAAACAGTGGAGATCTTCTTTGGTCCGACTTCAATTGTGGCAACCATCATGCCTTCAGGCTTGGTCAGCTGCCCTGTAAAACTTGTCATTTCGAATTCCACAGGAGACAGATCATGAATTCCTTTCCCTAGCTTCTTGAGGGTCTTCAATGGCATAACATTAAAGACTGCTCCATTATCCACAAAAACCTTTGTGATTGGTTTCCCGCAAATGTGAGCATTAACATACAGAGGTTTCAAATGAGAGATCGCACCCTCTGGAATAGGAGGAAACACTATCGAAGGTGCCTCTGGCTGAGGCTCGGAATCTGAAGTCTTTGCCCACTCTGTTTCCTCTAATTCATCATCTGCCAAGAATGCCCATAAAGGTTCGTCCATAGTGATAATCTACCAGACTCGCCCACATCGGTTCATCTCTCATCTGATTAATCTCTGTCATTCGACAAGGGATTCGTGGTCCCAGACGAGATTTAACAGATCTTGAACTTTCCTCTGTAGTTACAACTTCTTCCTTTGTCTTATCCCGAGATTGAACCGTCAAAGATTCTATGCGGAATTCCTCAGGAGATGGATTGATGTTGATCCGTTCACAATGTTGGCATCGAAAACCTCTAATTATTTCATCTGCCATTCCTTTACCTTTCCCCTGTCCCGACGAACTTCTCTTGGTATAGTCGGAAGCGCCTAATCCGTCGTTCGGTTGCTTTCCTGAACAGACCCGACTGGACCGACTTTTTGGAAACTGAATGGCTGCTCCCTGCTCGTTGGTCGTTTGTTCTGTAAAGACTCTAATGGACTGATCTCCTGCCAAGTGGTCGGCTGCTTTTTGTTCGTCGGTTCGTTGTTTTACTGAAGGAACTCGTTTCCCATACTTTGCAGCATACCTGCGTTTGGCATTGCGAATCTGTGTACGATTCATACCTGGGAAACGAGGATCTATATCAACGGGTAAAGGCTTTTTATTTCGAGCCCAATTGTTCCCGACTGAACCTGTTTTTCTGGTCGGGTGGTCACGCACTAAAACCTTTTCTTTCACCTCCACATTAAAAGAACCGTCTGGACGGTCCCATTTTTCAGCGACTGGCCTTTCAACAACTTTGAGTCGTTCTTCCGGTCGGCCACTGTTTGGCTGACTTCCTTTTTTTGTTCCGGGGCTTGCCTGAGTTCGTTCCCCTGTTTGTCCATCATTGGCCGAACTTTTCCCTGTTTCCGAACTTGGTTGGATGTCAACCATTGCCGTTGTTACTTTCGGAAACGGTTGCTGGTCTACACCTAGAGTGATGTATTTGAGCCGACCTGTCTTGATGGCTTTTTGAATTTCCTTCCTGAAATGAGTACACTGACTTGTATTGTGTGTGAAAGAATTATGCCACTTGCAATATGGTCTCCCTTTGATTTCTTCTTTAGTGGCCAGTCTTTGCCCCTTTGGAATACGGATCTGCCCATCAGTCAGTAAGATATCAAAGATTTCATCAGCTTTTGAACTATCAAACGTTGGTTGCTCCTTCCCTTCAGATCCTGGTACTGGCTTCAATTTGGGGCACACATAAGGTTTTCCAGAAAGGATTTCGGCTGCCATCTCTTCTGACTGATTAAAATCAAAGTCACATGTTTCTGTTCCCATACTCGCCATATGTTGGCCTCTATTACGCCTGTTATGCTGATCTTCCTCTCTGAACAAAGACTCTAAACGTCCTGCCTTGGATGCAAGACTTGCCAAATCCTCAACATCCAGGGCAGTGAGTGCCTTTCTTAAACGAGTATGCATATTCCGGACCACTAAATTGGTCATCTCTTTCTCACTGATTACCGTAGGACATCGTCCCTTCATCAATCGCACCCTTTCTATAAACTGTGAAGCAGATTCTTCTGGATACTGTCTCAATTCTAGTAAATCAGTTAAAGAAACAGTTGGTAAAGGATTGAAGAATCTGGCATGAAATGCCATCTCCAGTCCTTCCCACGTCTGAATTTGTCCAGGAGGCAGACTTGCAAACCACGAAAACGCTGTTCTAGTAAGAGATAAACCAAACAGCTGCAACTTATAAAAAGGGTTATTGCCAACTTCTCCTAATTGTGCTGTGAACCGACCAACATGTTCTATGGTGGAAGATCCGTCCTCCCCTGAGAATGCATGAAAATCGGGTGGTCGATAATTCCTTGGGAGAGGGTGTTCATTAATGATCCTTTCTGGGAAAGGTCTCTGATATGCAGGGCGGTTAGCCATCTGAGGAGTTAATCCATACTGATCCCTTAATATATGTGCAATCTCATCAGGATCTACATGAAAGCGTTGATGATCAGGAACATGGAACGGATCCTGCACAGGAATATGAATAGGATCATGTATATATCCTTCAGGCCTGTCCTCCCTTGTATTGTTCGGCTGCGGATTGGTAACCCTTGGTCCCAGTGGAACAGTGTTTGGAAAAGTCAGAGGAGATTTTCCCCTATCCATTCGGTTGGGATTTGTGGCACTTGGGAATGTACTATCCACGAATGATGGCCCTGCGAAATTTGCCTGTAGTCTGGATGGTGATACTCCTGGTGGAGTTTGAGTAGGTTGAAGACTAACCCTTGACAGTGCTTGATCTATCATGTTCTGCATCAGACTCTGTTGCTCACGCAACATGTTCGTTTGTTGCTCACGCAACATATTCTGCATAACCAAAGTTTGCTGGTTGTTCATTTGTTGAACATAAGACCACCAATCAGTTGGTGGTTGTCGGATTTCCCCGGCATTTGGCACAATAGGTGGTGGAACGGATTCTCCCACCGGTGCCGAAGATGATTGAGGTTGTGAACCTGCCATATGGACCCTTCCGATGATACGGCCGGATCTAAGACGTATGAAATTATCGCCGGAATTGGAATGAGCAATTTTGTCTTGCTCCCACTGTGGTCGCCAATTTGTTGATGTATTTTTTCAACAAAAATAAAGTAAAATTCAAAGATATAGAAAATATCCTTAAACTTGATTAATTAGTGCCTGAGATTAGGAATCTCTAAACACTGTACGGTACAGAAAATAAACTGGAAAATAAAAGACTGAAATTTAAAGTGGTGATCCCCAAATCTGACTTTGCTTTGTTGAAGTTGATTGAAGATGCCTTGCCAAATGATGATCCAAATCCTTAAATATTCTTTGAAGAAACTGTACTGAAAACCGTCGCCCGAACGGTTACAACGTCTCCTTCCCAACCGTCTTCCAACCCTTCTCCTGCTGACACGTGTCCTCAGCAGACCAAAATTATCCCTATATTTCACTTTTTGAGCCGACCACAGACCTTCCGCCCTTTTGGCCCGACTTCGTCCTTCGCCCGACCTGCTTCTTCGCCCGACCTCACTTGGGCCGACCTCCGCATCAGCCGCCCTCCGTCTTTGACCGAAGACCTCCGCGTCTGTCCGTACCTCTTCCTTGCCCGACCTTCCTCTTGACAGACCTCCGCGTCTGCCCGACTTCGCCTTCTATCCGATCTACGGTTTACCCGACCTGCGGACTTCCCATCCTGATGACTTTCCGTCTTGAGGACCTCCCGACCTGAAGACCTTCCGACCTGAGGTCTTTCCGTCCTGAGGACTTTCCGTCTTGAGGACCTCCCGACTTGAAGACCTTCCGACCTGAGGTCTTTCCGTCCTGAGGACTTTCCGTCTTGAGGACCTACCGACCTGAAGACCTTCCGACCTGAGGTCTTCCCGTCCTGAGGACTTTCCGTCTTGAGGACCTCCCGACTTGAAGACCTTCCGACCTGAGGTCTTTCCGTCCTGAGGACTTTCCGTCTTGAGGACCTACCGACCTGAAGACCTTCCGACCTGAGGTCTTCCCGTCCTGAGGACTTTCCGTCTTGAGGACCTACCGACCTGAAGACCTTCCGACCTGAAGTCTTTCCGTCCTGTATTTTCCTTGATTTCCACACGGTGTCCTTCAGCCAGTTCAACCAACTCTATTGCCAGGCCCATTCTTCTTTTTACCTTGGGCTTTTAACCTAATTCTAAATTTCGTACGTAACACATATATAGATAGGTTTTTTAAATTTTTATGTATGTGTGTGTATCACTTCTACTTATTAAGTTACGAATTAAAAAGAATGTGCTTTCGATACCTTTAGCTCAAAAAGGTATAATGGCTTGATTAGAGTGTAGATATTATTAAAATTGTACTTTGTATGGTTAGAATATTGACTATATATAGAAACGCATCTCCGGTCGAACAAGAAAACAAAGCTGTTGAACAGCACCCACCCTCTTCATTCTATCTACATCTTCTTCTTCTTTTTTATTTCTTTACTAGTCCTTTTCCACCTACAAACTTGATCCAATATTATTTTTATTTAATTTTGTGATGGAGTGACAATCAAAATTCAACACAACACTGGAACATGATGCAGTATCTAAACTCCAATTTCGTTTGCTATTCTTATTATCAAAGTATTTTTTCACAAACTTTCAAAAATATTTGATGAAGCCCCCCACCTGAGAGAGAAGACTCAGGTTGATTCTTAACCTTGCCGTGAATCTTTACTTCAGATCTAGATATCATTTTTCAATACCTCAAATATAAACATAATTATACTAATTACTCAATCAAATTATAAGTGTATTTGAATGTAATTTCAACCTAACCAGCTATAGAAATAATGAAAACAAGCAAAACAAAACAAATCAAAATGTTATAACCAATCAACATTATACCCATTGTAGAGCAAACAAACAAATTTATTAGAACAATATTCAGCTAAATAATATACAAATTTATTGACTATTGTGGCCACAGATAGATAATTCTTGATGTAAAAAATAAACAAACTATCATAATCAATCAAACCTTCATCGACAATCCCCAAATTCAATTAATTATGTAAACATTGCACCATTTTAAAATGGCATAAACCTCCATTTCCCACTCAATAAATAAAAGACTCAAAACAAGATCAAATCTGGAAGGATACATATATATATATATATATACCTTGGTGAGAAACTGTCAAAGATCAAAACAAGATCAAATGTGCAAAAAAACTCATACAATAAGCGTTTAGTAGATCCAAGAAATGAAACCAAGAATTCAATCCTAATCATCATAAAAAATGAGATGAAGATTTCCAAATTCAATCAAGTGTCTACGTTTGGATAAAACCTAATTTGATCTATATTCTCCAACCTCATACATCATCCTACCTAAATCTCAACCACTGAAACAAAAAAAAATCTTCAGTGTTTCAACCAAATCCTAAATCAGATCAATGATCGATCTTTCCCCAAATCAATTCCAACACACAAACAAGATGGAAAAAAAAAAATTAATGAAAACAACACAGATATGCAACAATACAAATTTAGAAACGAAACTTACACCGATGAAGAGGACATTTTGAAGAGTGGCGCCTCACAGCTGAAGCTTGGCGGTGGACGTTGGTCGGAGATACGGGAGAAGAGCGGCAATTGATTGATGGACGACAGAAGTGAGGCCGCGGTGGTGTGGACTAAGGGGCAGAGGCTTCAGGTCGCGGGCAGCTAAACGGGAGGAGGAAGGAGAAGTGAAGTCGGTGACAAAGAAGCAGCAGAGTTGGAGTTGGGTGGGTTTAGGGATTAAATTGAGGGAAATATTTGTTTTTTGTGACGGAATACACATCGTTGCACAACCAATTGCAAAATTGCAACGCATTACTTTATTTGTCGTATAAAATCTAAGTAATTTGGTGTAAAAATAAATTTTACAACCGTATACATTTTTTTTTTTTGCAAGATCGGTTGCTGAATTATGTCAATTTGTATTGCAACTAATATATTCTCTTGGATATTCGGTCATTATTTTGCAACAGACCATATTTTCTTGTAAATTTTATTATTAAATTGCAACTTTTTAAATCCATCCCAATATTACATTGTAAAAATGATTAATTACAACGAATTTTGTTTACCTTTGCAATTTCCGTCAAAATATTGCAATGAAATGCAAACCTTTGCAGAATTTCATTGAAATTTATTATTATTTTTTTAGTGCCCGGCGTCTAGGCCACGCTCGCGCTGAGGTTCAGACCAGCAGTTGCCTATGCGCAACACGTCCGGGATATACTATACAGTATGAGAGAATTATGCAAAATACGTACATGCACCAAAATATGGGTCATTAGTCTCGCACAAATGAGACGGACTATGGCTGAGAACGAAGAGCAGAAATGTTAACTGCTTCAGCCTGGAATTAGTTAGATAAACCAGCAAATATGCGCATACACCTGACATCTTTATTTATCTTTCCTTGATTTTCTCGAATTTCCGTAACAAAAACTTTTGAACTTTCTTTACAAAATAAAATAATATATATAATAAAATTTTGAAGATGAATTTGAAAATTTTTGAACTTTATTAATTAAATATAAATAATATATATAATAAAATTTCAAAAATTCTAAAACTATTTAAGTAGACTCCAAAACTTCAGTCTTTCTTAATAAATAAAATAATATATATAATAAATATTTGAAAAAGCTAATACCATTTAAAATAGACTACAAAACTCTTTAATCTTTTTATTAAAATAAAATAAGATATATAAAAATAGTCTTCGTTACATGGATTCGAAAAATTCAGAATCTTCATATTTTTTAATAAAATAACATTATTTATAATATACGTCTTGGAATTTTTGAGATAACAAAACCTTTTTCTAATAACATAACTTAAGCATAATTTTATATTTTATAAATATTTTTGTAAAGTATCGGAACAAAACCTTTTTATTTTTATTTTTATTTTTTATACCTCTAGATTTGTTTCAGTTCATTTGGTTTGGTGCATAGCATTTCTATAAACCCTTTGGCCGTCCCAATCAGGATATATGGTACGGACTATGGAGTAAGTCCTGACGTATGCAAAGGCAAATGCACACTATTCATAATACTATAACACGAGCAACAGTAATTTATGGAGAGTCTGAGGCTATAATATGGCTATGCCTATGGGTTGGAATTTGGAAACCCAACTGATTCATTTCCACTATATGGCTAATTAATTCTTCAATTACTCAACCATAGAGCATTGGTTTCATTCACTACTGCATCTTTCTGTGTCCCAAAACTATTCGAACTAGAGTTGTGAATGAGCCGAACTGAGGTGAGCTTGTTATATTTGAGCTCGGCTCGTTAAGGACTCGAGCTCAACTCGTGTTCATTAATTCGTTAAAAGATACGAGCTGAAATTTTTGTTTGAACTCATTTAGGAAATCTTTTGTTTGTGTTCAGTACGGTTCGGCTCGTTCAGGGATTTTTTTTTAAAAAAAAATTGAAACTCAATTAATAATAATTATATTGATAAATTTAACTGAAATAGAATTAAATATAATATTTATACAGATATATATTTATTAAATATAAAAATATTAATTTAAATTTTTAATAAATACATTGATTCCTGAACATAACGAGCCAAAATTTATGTTTGTATCGACTCGTTTAGCTAACAAACTCAAACAAAGCAAACCAAGCTAAGTTCGCAAATTATTTGTTTGTTTTATTACTCTAATTCAACCGGCTACACTAATTGCCTTAATCTGCTATATACTTCCTCCCACATAATTTCTGCATATTTTCTATTTTCGTCAGTCCAACTTAATTTGTCATTTTTTTTTTGAAAAATTAATTATACACTTTAATCATCTTTTAAATTTTAAAATTTAATTTTTTTAATTTTAATTAAACTATTTAGTTATTTTAATCCTAATCTATAATTATTTTTACTATATAATAATTATTTTTACCAATGCACTTCTTAATTATTTACTAATTATACTTTACCTAAATTCTCGTATCTATAATAATATGCTCATATTATCTGGGACGGAGGGAGTATATATCTACATGTCAAAGAATATTTACTTCATCACTGTTGTTCTGTCTGGAAGCACTAAACATTTTTTCACCCAAAACAAAACCATTTTGATCATTTGAGAATCAGCAAAGAAAATGGAAACAAAAAGTCCAGAAGCAGCAGCAGTGATATAGAAGGAAATGTACAGTGATGGCACCTCGCCTTTGTTGATCCCTTCTCCTCCACCATCTCGATCGCCATGGATTGAACTGCCAGCCGATGTGACGACCAATATCCTGCAGAGGCTGGATGCTGTAGAGATCCTGGAAAGTGCAGAGAGAGTGTGCACAACCTGGTGGAGAGTGTGCAGATAGTGTGCACATGATGTGCCGCGAAGCTGTTGATCGTAGCCAGGGGCAGCTCATCGACATAACCATTGAGGATTTTGGTACCAATAAGTTGATTTTATACATTTCAGAAAGGTACTGTTAGAACATATTCTAGTCTCAATTTTCTACCTTGCAATAACATAACTGATATGAACTTCCTTAAATTAAAGAGAGTGGAGAGTACTCAGGGAATGTTTTTGTCCATCCTAGTGTCACAGACTGAATCCGTAATGGGAGATGACCGAGAGAAGGAGCCAAAACCCGGAGGCTAGTTCAGAACCTTCTGAATAAAACTAGAACTTGTATGGAGTAGTTGGGGGTTGGTAGGTGGTAGGTGGAAGATGATAGGTGGGGATTGGTAGATGGTTGGTGGAAGATGGCAGGTGGGGTGGTAGTAGATGATGGTTGGGAGATGATCTTAACCATTGGATGGATTCGATCTTGCCCGTGCATGCCATAATGACCTTGTATAAATAGGTGGTAGTGCTCATTTGTAAATCATCAAGTTGAGAACAATAATATATACTTTCCCTCATTACTTTCTCTTTATACGATTCTTGAACGTTCTTGATCGTGTTCTTGAAGGTGTTCAGCAAGACTGTACTAACAACCTCTAAGTATTCGAAAGTTGCTAGGCCGCACTGAAGGTGTTTGAGGAACAACCAGGCGGTCTGTGACACTTGTAAGTTCAATCTTCTTCCTATTCACTGCAGTTTGCTCGTTTCTTGTTTTTTGTGCCATTGTGTTGCTTTGGTAGGGTTTCCATTGTTCTCAGAGTTTCATATGTGTTGTTGCTATGTCAAAACAGGTGCAGTATGTGTTTTTCAGTACCTGAAAATCCATCCAAAGCATTGTCATTGTTTGTATATGAACGCTAGATCAGATCCAACCAAAATATTTTTCTTCGATAAGAGATAATTAATTGTACCAATATCTCAAAAAATGTCCTAGCGCTTTCTTCCTTCATCTTTTCTTCTTTTAGCCATGAATTTGCTATGAAGATAGCGTCCCAATGTTATGAGAGGCAAAGAAAAATTATCAAAGCAAACTGGGATATGTTTCATTAGAAACAGGGCACAAGATGAGAGTTTATAATCATAGCTTGTATTTGCAGAATAGTTATCTGGAATAAAAAGAGACAAAAAGTTGACAAAGGTCGAACAGACAAAGTCCTCTTAAATAACAACAAATACATAATGTCGGCTTACATTTTGCTTGGCTGTCTATGTCACTTGAAGTTGTTACCTGACAAAGAAAGACGTTACACCGTAAGCATCATTTACGTCAAACACAGATTGGAGAAACGAAACAGAATCCCGAGTAGGGATAAATATACATTGTGATATTAATCAAAAATAATAATGCAAAATAGTCCGTAACTCCTTTATAGTTTTGAAAATCATATAAATTCCTTTTTACTTTAAAAATAGTATGGCGTTTATTTATACTTTAAAAAATATTGCATGAAATATTATTTTAAAAATTGCATAACATCCTTTATACTTTAAAAAATGTTAGATGAAATTACCACCGTGCAAAAAAATATAAATAGGAAATCATCAGCTCATCACATAATGAAGTTTTATGGCGGTGGGGTTCATGCAACATTTTTTAAAGTGTAAGAAGATGTCGTGCAATTTTTACAGTATAAGGAGATTTTAAAGTTTTGAAACCAAGCGAGAGTTACGAGCAATTTTATCAAATAATAAGAATAATAATAATAATAATAATAATTTAAAATTAGTACCTCACAAAAGACTTCATTCAGTTCTCCTTCATTTGAAGATTGCATCTTGTCCATGCTTTCATGTGAGGTGGAGGCTTCCAGGATGTCTGAATCCAGAGCTTCTCCAATCTTCTGTGGCCTCAATAAGCCCAAATTAGATGTGGGTGTTCTCAGAGGACCCTCGATAGCCCGGAAACCAGCATCCACATTTTGTTCATTAGCTGTGCATGCTGGAAATTGGAAGTTGTCGGGATTGGCAGGCAATTTGGCAGCAGAAGTCGCTGCTGCACAACTCTTGTCACAATGAAGTGATGCTAGATCAGCTTCCATGCCTGCACGTGACATGGTTATTACAAAAATGAGCAAGCAAATTTGGAAATTTGCAAACAAATTCAAATCAAAGAAGGTATTCACTGGATATCAATGGCTCCGTCAAAGATAGGAGTGCTTTGGCCAAGTTTAGAAGCCCTCCATGCCTGCAAAATAGTTTTTGGAACAGCCTTTCTCTCACGTTTCAAAGCACTTGGAACGTTTGCTATCCATTCTTTAAAGCAAGATTATTCTGTAGCATGTTCATCATACTTGTAAGAGCTTGATAAAGCAAGAAATACAGACATGTTTGTCAAATGTCTACAATACATCACTAAAAAGGATATAAAAGTTTGAAGAATC